TGCTAGCCTTGAGCTGAAGAGCTGAGGGACAGCGCCCAGGCCCAGAGTTCAGGCCCCACGACCGGACACCCCCCCCCCCCAAAAAAAAGCCAAGCCGGGCACTGGTGGCTTACGCCTGTAATCCTAGCTACTCAGGAGGCTGAGATCTGAGGATCGCCGTTCAAAGCCAGCCCGGGCAGGAGAGACCGTGAGACTCCTATCTCCAATAAACCACCAGAAAGCCGGAAGTGGCGCTGTAGCTCAAGTGGTAGAGCGCTCGCCTTGAGCTGAAGAGCTGAGGGACAACGCCCAGGCCCAGAGTTCAAGCCTCACGACCGACTAAAAAAAAAGCCAGAAGTGGCACTGTGGTTCAAGTGGTAGAGCACTAGCCTTGAGCTGAAGAGCTGAGGGACAGCGCCCAGGCCCAGAGTTCAGGCCCCAGGACCGGACCCAAAATAAAAAAAATAAAAATAAATAAAAGGAAAGAAATGTATATACCACCCAATGTGGAAGAAATAGTTATATTGTCAAAGCTCATAGAATTCACAAACATTATAGACCATGATAATGACAATTTGCCTTGTGAAGGCTAAAATGTGTGACTTTTAAGTATATCACTATCTCACAATACTGTGAAAGTTGTGTAATTATTTAACCTCAATAAAAACTATTAAATAATTTTTTTTTACACATGGTTGATTAAATTTGGAGCCCCGGAATGCACATGACTATACTTAGCTTGAATATTGTAGAAATTGTTTTATTTTTTTATTTTTTATTGTGAACATACTGTACAGAGGGGTTATAATTACATGGGCAAGATAATGAGTACATTTCTTATCAAGTATTGTAGCCTCCTCCTTTGTTTGCCCTTCACATCCCTTCCCAGCCTCCCCCTGCCCCCCCCCAGTCCTCCCCCCCCTAGAAATTGTTATATAAATCATCAAAATTTGTCACTTTATAACTAGGCAGACTGTACAGATCATGTTGTGTGAGGTTATTCCTAACCATTAGGTCTAGCCTATCCCTCTGACGTTTACTGTTTTGTAAGCTTAAAAATGTTTTTGGGAAGTGGCCCTGTAGCTCAAGTGGTAGAGCGCTCGCCTTGAGTTGAAGAGCTGAGGGACAACACCCAGGCCCAGAGTTCAAGCCCCACGACCGACAAAAAAAAAAAAAATGTTTTTGATTGGGGTTGGGAAGGTAGCTCAGTGGTAGAGTGCTTGCCTTGCATGCATGAGGCCCTGGGTTCGATTCCTCGGCACCACATAAACAGAAAAGGCCCGAAGTGGCACTGTGGCTCAATTGGTAGAGAGCTTGCCTTGAAGAGCTGAAGAGCTAAGGGAAAGTGCCAAGGCCCAGGGTTCAGGCCCCACAACCGACTCCCCCCCCCCCCCAAAAAAAAAAATGTTTTTGACTAAGCCAGGCAATGGTGGCTCTTACCTTTAATCCTAGCTACTCAGGAGGCTGAGATCTGACGATCTGGTTCAAAGCCAGCCCAGGCAGAAAAGTCCATGAGACTCTTATCTCCAGTAAACTACTCAGAAAAAGCTGGAAGTAGAGCTATGGCTCAAGTGGTAAAGCGCCTAGCCTTGAACACAAAGAGACTCAGAAACAGAGCCCAAGCCCAGAGTTCAAGCTCCTCAGGACTGGCCAAAAAAAAAAAAGTGTTTATTGTTGTTAAAATTGAGTTATTTTTTGTGAAGTTGGGCATGAAAGATACAACCTTCCCTAGATTAGATGCACATTAATGTTTGTTTTTCATTCATATATTCGTTTATGTAGTAATTTTCACTAATCAAGGAAACAGCAAATATTTTTGATATCTGTTGTGTTTCAGATACAGTGATAACTTTGGAAGAACTTATTTTATTTTATTACAATTAATTTAGAAACTTTGGGGATACTGGTTTCACATTAAAAATAATTTAGACTGGTTTTGAAATGAGGAATAAGTTAAATAAACACAAATTTTGTTAGTTGTGGTAATAAAATTATATGAACTATATGGTAAACATTAAGATATTTCTGCAATACAGTTATTTTAATTCTATTTTTAGAACTGACTTGACTTTTGACTAAGCTTCAGCTTTAAGCTGAGAAACATACTTGGATAGTGTGGTATTTTTGGTTTGCACGTCACTCTAATATCACATGACAGAAGGAAAGAGGGTCTCTCTTAGGCCTTTTTATAAGGATACTAATCACATTCATGAGGGATCATGACTTAACTACCCCCTAAATGCTCTTTATCCTAATAACATCTCTTTGGGACTTAGGATTTTAACATGAATTTAAAAGGTCATAGATTCACCAGACATTGGTGGCTCATGCCTGTAATCCTAGCTACTCAGGAGGCTGAGATCTAAGGATCCGTAGTTCAAAGTCAGTCCATGAGACTCATCTCCAGTCAACCACCAAGAAGTCAAAACTGGAGCTGTGTTTCAAGTGGTTGAGAACTAACCTCGAGCAAAGAAGCTCAGAGACAGCACTCACGCCCTGAAGTCAAGATCCAGGACTTGCACTAAACAAAAAGCAGAAATCCTCCCACAGTCAGACTATTGGCCTTATCTATGCCTCAACAGTATTGTGAAAGACTGTCTTCACAGAATTTTTGTGGTTTAGTGAGGTAGAAAATATATGTAAAGTGTCTATAGTTTGTTGTTAACTTGAATAAGTCATTTAACTATCTGCAATGGTTAATTTTGATGTCAATGTCATTGGATTGAGTCATCTTTTAATAAAGCATAAGTAAGAGAGAAAGACTTCCTGAATGTGGGGGCAATATCCTATAGAGGGGGAGAGGCAGATGGAATAAACAGAGAAAAAAGAGAAAGCCCAGAGCAAAAGCCTTTTAGTTTCTGTTTCCTGGCCTTTGTGATATGAGTTGCTCTTTTTTGCCACTATGATGAACCTCTGAAATTGCAAACAAAAATAAATCTTTTCCTTCTGTAAGTTGTGTTCTCTGGTATTTTGTCACAGCAATAAAAAGGTAAATACACCATCAAGGGGCTGGGAAGGTGTCTCAGTGGTAGAGTGCTTGCCTTGCATGCATGAGGCCCTGAGTTCGATTCCTCAGCACCACATAAGCAATAAGAAAAAAGCCAGGGCTGGGAAGGTGGCTCAGTGGTAGAGTGCTTGCCTTGCATGCCTGAGGCCCTGGGTTCGATTCCTCAGCACCACATAAGCAAAAAGAAAAAAGCCGGAAGTGCCGCTGTGGCTCAAGTGGTAGAGCGCTAGCCTTGAGCTGAAGAGCTGAGGGACAGCGCCCAGGCCCAGAGTTCAGGCCCCAAGACCCGGACCCCCCAAAAAAAAAGAAAAAAGGAAAAAGCCAGAAGTGGTGCTATGGCTCAAGTGGTAGAGTGCTAGCCTTGAGCTGAAGAGCTGAGGGACAGCACCCAGGCCCAGAGTTCAGGCCTCATGACCGGATCCAAAGAAAAAAGAAAAAAGAAATAACACCATTAAAACTCAGTTTCTACCTATAGAAAAGAATGCTATAACCTCTGTTCTCCCTATATTTAAAGGTTATTTTGATATAAAGTCCTTTGAAAACTTAGTCGGTAGCCATAATAGCTTTATATGAATTTTACTTTTTTTTTTTTTTTGCCGGTCATGAGGACTGAATTCTGGGTCTGGGCACTGTCCCTCAGCTCTTCAGCTCAAGGCTAGCTAGCGCTCTACCACTGGAGCCACAGCGCCACTTCCAGCTTTTTCTGTTTAAATGGTACTGAGGAATCGAACCCAGGGCCTCATGCTTGCAAGGCATGTACTCTATCGCTGAGCTACCTTCCCAGCCCTGAATTTTACTTAATAGGAAGGAAAGTAAACTAATGTTAACTTTGGTATGATGCCTGATATCTACTTAGCTTTATAAGACAGAGGATACTTCTGTTTTGTTTTGTTTTTTGGGTCCAGTCATGGGGCCTGAACTCTGGGCCTGGGCACTGTCCCTCAGCTCTTCAGCTCAAGGCTAGCGCTCTACCACTTGAGCCACAGCGCCACTTCCGGCTTTTTTCTTATGTGGTGCTGAGGAATCGAACCCAGGGCCTCAGGCATGCAAGGCAAGCGCTTTAACCACTGAGCCACCTTCTCAGCCCCAGAGGATACTTCTGAACCATAAAAATTGGAGAAGTAGAATTGCTCCTACTGGGAAGAGCTTTGAAATTCTATGAGATAGAGAGCCCTCAAGAAAATAAACAGGAACCTGAGATTATTGCTGTTTGGTGTAGAATGGAAAAGGAAGTGAGACTACAGCTAAGCCCAGAAGGTGAAAATAAGGTGCTAGAAATTGGCCTCGCTGATTTGGGTTGTCTGTTTTGATTTCTTGTAGCTGGATTGGGCCTATTTTTATGATTAGTTGTGTATTTTGATCCTCACAGAAAACTGGTGAGAACAGCTGGTATGATTATTATTCCATACATAAGGAAAGTAGAAAACAGAAATTAAAACTAGAAATTTCAATCTTGGTTTCATCCTGTTCTAATTCCTTTTGGAACCAAAATAGCAGATGTAACTGTTAAGTGTCGTGTTTTGTGCATAGAAATTAGCCGAAGGGCAGCTAAGGTGTTTGGTTTTCCCCTGTCATATATTTTCTATGTGACCTTAACAAAGATTTTTATTTTCACGGGCTGGAAAGCTGGCTCAGTGGTAGAGTGCTTGCCTTGCATGCAGGAGGCCCTGGGTTCAATTCCTCAGCACCACATAAGCAGAAAAAGCCGGAAGTGGTGTTGTAGCTCAAGTGGTAGAGTACTAGCCTTGAGCTGAAGAGCTGAAGGACAGCACCCAGGCCCAGAGTTCAGGCCCCACGACCAACAAAAAAAAAGATTTTTATTGTCAGTAAGCTTTCATATTGTTAACAGACTTGTAAATCTTATTCTAGGATTTGAATTTCAACTCCCTGAACTGCATTTGTTTGGAAGTTCTTTAATAATGTAGCATAATAGCACTGGCTGTCAATAAGAAGTAGTTTGGTCTGGTCCCTTGGTAGTGATACTAGTAAATTTCCTATGTTCTTTTCCTCACAGGTTTTCTGTGCTTCCTGCTGTAGCCTGAAATGTAAATTGTTATATATGGATCGAAAGGAAGCTAGAGTATGTGTAATCTGCCACTCAGTGCTAATGAATGGTAAGTATTAAAACAGATTGATTGTGTAGTCATTGAGACAGAATAAGAGAATATTTATAAAAAGACTCTTTTTTTCCCTTGGCTTTTTTTTTATAAGTTTCTCATCTTCTCAAATGTCAGAACTTCAAAGATATTGAGCTTAATTTCTACATTTTAAAAGTATTTTGGCATCCCGGAATTCCTGTCTCTAATTTTATGAATTCTAAAGCCAGGTAGGTTTTGTGGGAAGAATGAAGTTCTTTGGAAATAATTGTGTTATATAGAGACAGATAGGGTGGGGGAATATACTTATCAGCTAGCTGATAGATACTAAAGTTGAACCATTCACTGAGCACTGGTGGCTCATGCTTATAATCCTAGCTACTCAGGAGGTTGAGATGTAAGGATCACAGTTCGAAGCCAGCCAGAGCAGGAAAGTCTGTGAGACTCTTTTCTCCAGTAAACTACCAAAAATAGCTAACAAGTGGTAGAGTGTTAACCTTGAGCAAAAGAAATCAGGCCCTAAATTCAATCCCTAGGACTGGCACAAACAAAAAAATAGAACCTTTCCAGAGAAGCTCTCTTTTTCTAGGGAAAGATAACTTTCCTTAATAACTTCAAAACAGTTAAAGTTGGAAGTGGTACTGAGCTCAAAGTAGTATAGTGCTAGCCTTGAGCAAAAGAGTTCAGGGACAGCACCAAGGCCCTGAGTTCAAGACCTATGACTGAGAGAAAGAAAAGAAAAACATTCTAAATTAATAGACTTTAATATCAAAAACATTAATACCATGTTATTTCATCCTCCATTTTGTTAAAAAATATAGCATGTAAGGTCAAGCAGATATTTTCTTTTCTTTTTTTCCTCTTTTGTAGTATTGGGGTTTGAACTAAGGGCCTTGGACTTGCTAGATAGGCACTATGCTCTTGAGCCATGCCTTCAGTCCATTTTGTGCTCTGATTATTTTGAGATAGGGTCTTGGTTTTTTTTAACTAGGTCCATTCTTGGATCATGATCCTCTTATTTTATACTTCACTCTAGCAGGTATGTGCCACCACACCTAGAATCTTTCATTGAGATGGAGTTTCAGGAATTTTTTTGCCCAGGTTGGTAAAAAATTGGAACCAGGATATTCCTGACTTCAAACTCATATCATGTCCAGCTATTGGTTGAGGAGGAATCTTTCAAACTTTTTGCTCAGGCTGGCCTACTTGTCTTTCCAATCTGAGTCCCCTATGTATTTACAATTACAGCACCTGGCTGAAAATTGTACTTTTTACCAGTTATTTCTTATTGCTTATTTCTTACCAGTTACATAGATGTGCTATAAGAATAAGGCTTTGAATTTAGGTGTTATATGATGAAAGAATACAGCCAGAAGAGTAAATATAACTTTAATTGTTTCTTCTTTTGTGGTAATTAGCAATGAATACAAGGATATTCTAGTTAAAAACAAACTAAAAACAAAAACCATGAATATTCTTGTAGAAAGATAAAATTGATCAGGTTGTGGTATTTTCTTTTTGAATGTGTCTTTGTGAAATGACCAGAATAATTACTAAAAGAAAATGTTGACCCTGGACACTACTGTTGTCTGTGCCTGTTAGTGTGCCTCCTCAAGTCTGGAATTTCAGATCCTTCCTGCTCTGTCTGTCTGCATTGCTCCTAGTGATGTTTTCCTGTTGCTGGCTTATTAACCTCTTGCATGTCAGTTAATCTGGTCTGTTATGATATCCTATGATCCACCCAATTTTCTCCCATTTCTGAATTCTCATATTTTGATCGAATGTGAAACATTCTCTCTACTCTTAAGGGTCATTTTTGGAATGGTGGTTATTTCACTGAGTTGCTCAATTGATGATTTTTATTCCACTGCTTTCATTTTTGGACATATATCCTCAGACAAGAGCATGCGGCTAATTACAATACTTAATACCTCTTTTATTTGATGAGGTCTTCCAGCTTGCTGGCAATTTATTTTAACTTGGCATAGCTAAACATGAAGGAAATGGCAGAGGATTCATATGGAATACTACTTTTTATTAAGCCAAGGAGGCCCTTAACAGGGGATCCTAAGGTAATCTACTTTTCCTGGTTTTTCCAGCATCTTTTCCTCTTGCATGGCTTAGCCTGGTCTTTTTCTGATTATTTAATTTGATGCTTTTCAGTGTTCCCTCTTTTCCCTTTCTCCTTTTCTCTTCCTTCCCTCTTTCTGCCAGTGCTTTCAAATGAACATAGCTTTTGTTACTAGCCTTGTCTTCCAGTTTAGAGGAAATAAATATTCAAAATCTTATGGCTCATTCTTTGATGTTGAATGAGGACTTTTTAAAAAAGATGCTCAAAAATTGGATGGTTTCTATTCCTGGGCATATAGTATATGAACTTCCAAAATAAAATTTATATCTTTTATTTCTATAGCATCTTTCATCCTATTTAGTTTTAAAGACATAGTTGCTATGTCAGTAATTAGTGAAATTAGAGAGTAATAGAATCTTAATGTCTTTGTGATCATTCATATTGATTGATCACATTTATATGATATTGGCACATTTTCATGTTCAAATTGGTCCTGTGCTTTTGAGACACACCAAAGATGTAGAATGCTTGTTATTCCTGGATACTCTTTTACAGGATGACTTCATTAAAGCATAATTTACAGAAATTACCAAGATGTTTCTCCTAAGCTTTAGGCTTCTGAATTGTTCAAATGAAATTTTTTTCTTAACTAAGAAAAGCCTGAATATACAGAAATGAAACAATGGAATTGTATTGTTTTGCCCCTGATTTTGATTTTTGATACAAGTTTATAAAATACTTCAGCTATTAAAACAAGCCAAGAGGCCTAAAGTCTATTCTAGTTACATATCTTTAATGTCACTCCCTCTTAAGGAAATATATGGTCTCTTTTAGAGAAACCATAGGCCTTGTCTTTATTTTGGACCAGTCTAGTATCAGTCTCTATCAGAATTATCATGTTACTATTATTCTTTTTAAGAAATATTTAATTCCTTATTTGTTCCAACCAGCTTACTTAGTTAAATGGTCTTCTTTATTGAATAAAATCATCTGTCTCCTTACTACCTTCACTAGCTGGAAGAGTATTAATACTATGAGTATTAATGAGGAGAAGCTGCATTACTTATTTATCCAATATTGTGGAGGTCTTGATATCCATCATTTTGCAATCCATTCACATTGATTGTGTCTGTATTTGCTTTAGCTCAAGCCTGGGAGAACATGATGAGTGCCTCAAGCCAGAGCCCTAACCCTAACAATCCTGCTGAATACTGTTCTACTATCCCTCCCTTGCAGCAAGCTCAGGCCTCAGGAGCACTGAGCTCTCCACCTCCCACTGTGATGGTACCTGTGGGAGTTTTAAAGCACCCTGGAGCAGAAGGTAGGGGATCATGTGCTATTCTCTCTCTTTTTCCTCACCAAGTTCCTCTGAAAAGGTGGTGGTGTGGCTACAGCACAACTCTTTAAACACTGCAGATAAGTCCCTTCAGATGGTTATTAAAATGGAAGAACAAAGTGAGAAATGTGTCCATACTATATTTGGGCAAATAAAAATAATATTGTATAGCCTGATATTTTTGAGGCACCGCTGAAAATATGCCAATCTCCTCTACAACTTAAAAATGGAGTAATGACACTGCTTATAGTTAGAAATACAGAATTTGAAGTCAGTCTGTAAAACCTTAGCCTCATATCTATCTTAATGTCCTTTGGCAGCAATTTACTAAGTAATGAAAATGAGAGTTTTTTCCTACTAGCCAGCCCATTCTAGTATTGCTTTTTAGAACTACCTTATTATTTTCTCTTTTCATTTTAAACCTATTATAAAATATGAAAATATTACCTTGCATACATGGACCTTTAAATCTAAGACTTTAATTCTAGTTATATCATGTGACAGGAATTATATGCCCAACTTACTTTAGAATACCACTTCTTTAAAATTATGAGATTGCCAGATGAAAGGCACCTTGCAAATTCAAGGGATTATGAGTATTAAAAATAACAATTATGTATTTCCTGAAGATGATCTTCTCAAGATGTTCCCCCTGATAGTTAAAATCAATCTTCTTTCATTATTTTTGGGTCTTTTGTCTAGGAATATTTCCTTCCCCTTTTGCATATCAGAGGGTTCTATTGAGAGTATCACAGTCTTGCCCGTTTTCTCTTCTTTTTAGATCATCCTTTATTGATATGCCTTTGTATTTTTTGAGTTCAGGCTTTCTATCTTATAGTCTCTATTCTCTTCTTTTGTCATTTTTGTTGTTCTTCTATACTCTCTCTGTTTTGACTGTTTTGAGTTGATTTCCAAACCTAGATTTAAAGAGATTTCATCAGATGCAGTTTTCTAACTTTTTCCTGTCCTTTCACTGAAATGCAAACTACTTTTGTATTGCCAGATCAGTCTTTTTCTTCTTACAGCTAGATTTTAGCCAAAGATCTGGTCTGTTTGCTTCCTAATTCTTATGTATCTTTGCCAATTCTTCCTTTATTAATTAATATTTCTTCAACATCTTTTAGGGCAGCTTTTGTCCTTTAAAAGTACCATATCACTTTTTCAGATATTTAATTTCTGTGGAAACCTCATATGTAGGAGCTGTGGATTTCTTCTGCTAGATTTATTTTCTAAGCACTTAAAATACTTTTCCTTAGTTTCTCTGTCAGTGATGCTGGGCAGAGTATGTGACATATCATAGATGTGTTTAAGAATCCTTAGTATTTTAAAACAAAGTATCTTACATCTTTGCATATAGAAGTGTTTTCCATCTTTGGTATAGAAGCAAAGTATATATTTAATCGTGTAGTTTTATTAGTTAACCAGTTTCATATACAATTATAGTTCTAATCTATCTAAATAGTGATTTCTTTGTACATCTGGAATTGGTTACCTTCTCTTCTTTGGTGTCAGAAACCCTACCAATGTCACAATGATGCCTGTTTTGTTTTCCTGGCCCCTCAAGTGGCTCAGCCTAGAGAGCAGAGGAGAGTTTGGTTTGCTGATGGGATCTTACCCAATGGAGAAGTTGCTGATGCAGCCAAATTAACAATGAATGGAACTTCCTCTGCAGGAACTCTGGCTGTGTCACATGACCCAGTCAAGCCAGTAACTTCTAGTCCTCTACCGGCAGAGGTAAGAAAAAAAAAATCAGCAATTAAAAGTGAGTACCTACTTTATTCATTGTTAATGCTGCCTTTTGCTAAGTTGAGTTACTTTTGTGTGAAGCTCTCTAGATTTTGGATACAATTTAAGATGAGCAAGTGTTTATTCATGGTATATTGTGTAGGAGTAAAGTAAATGTGCAAAAATCAGCTATTCTTGTTTGTTCTATATTTGGAAGTTTTTTCCAAGATTTGATTCTCATGAAGAATATTCTCAGGTGAGTCTAGGATGTTGCTAAAGCTAGAGGTCAGGCATTAGCCTGGTATGTTTTAAGTAGGTATGTTTTATTAGGTGACCCATGAAGAGAACACCACACGCTGTTTGGCAGGAAAAGAAGGTTCTTTACCGAACTGCTGCCCACTCCTTGCATGATGGAGAGGCATGGCCGAAAGGTGCAGCCTATCCCTGAGCCAGGATGTATCTAGGCCAGGAACAGGAAGAGGTATGGTCAGGTGGGGGAAAGGTGTGGTCACACTGGATCCTGATATGATCTCAGGTCCTGGGACCCTCCTAAGGTCAGATGGGAGGCCTGTGACCCAAGGTGGCCCAGGATGTGACCTAGCTGTAGGGGGAGGTGACTGCTTCAAGGTGTGCCAGTTACCTAGGTAACACAGATACTGGGTAGAAACTTAGCCAAGAGGTAGGGAGGTGTCTGCACTGGGCCTGCTTGGCCTTGGGCAGACCTTACAGCTAAGAGAGAATACTGGTTCCTTGGTATATTGCTTGCTTGCTTCCTTCCTTCTTCCTTCCTTCCTTCCTTCCTTCCTTCCTTTTTTCCCTTCCTTCCTTCCTTCCTTTTTTCTTTCTGCCCTTCTCCTTTCCTTTCGTTTCCTTTCCCTTCTTCACAGCCTTCTTTTTTATTCTTCTTTTCTTTCTTTTTGGTGTGAATATTGGGCTTAAACTCAGTTTGAGCATTCTTTTTGTTGTTGGTGGTGGTGGTGGTCTTGGGGCTTGAATTTTGGGCCTGGGCACTGTCCCTCAGCTCTTCAGCTCAAGGCTAGCTCTCTACTACTTGAGCCACAGCACCACTTCCGGTTTTCTGGTGGTTGATTGGAGATAAGAGTGTTTCGAACTTTCTAGCCCAGACTGGCTTTGCAGCACAATCCTCAGATCTCAGCCTCCTGAGTAGCTAGGATTACAGGTGTGAGCCACCAGTGCCCAGGAGTTTGAGCATTCTTGCTTGGCTTTTTTGATGAATGATGGCACCCTGCAACTTGGACCATATCTCCAGTTCTGGCTTTTTTGTTGGCTAATTGGAGATAAGTCTCAGGGATTTGTCTTCTGTAGCTGGCTTTGAGCTTTGATTCTCAGATTTCATCCTCCTTAGTAGTTAGGATTATAGGCATGAGCCATGAGTGGTTGGCTGAAATACTTCAAACCATATTCCCAAGTGTCTGTGATAGCCTTTCAGGAGAGTCATGGTAGGTATGTATGGCCAACAATATGATAATGTTCAAAGACCTACTCTGTTTCTTTCTCTTTAACACAGCATCTCTACTTTTGTTCTGTTAGATGTTTCCACTTGAAAGAATTTTGAAAGGTTCCAAAGTTTAAACAAGTTGACAAACTATAGGCTTAATGGATAGAGGGCTTAATATTAGTTCAGGGCTAGGAATGTGACTTCGTGGTAGAGTGCTTGCCTAGCATGCATGAAGCCCTCATGTACCACATAAACAGAAAAACCAGAAGTGGTGCCGTGGCTCAAGTGATAGAGTGCTAGCCTTGAGCAAAAAGAAGCTCAGGGATGGTGCCCAGGCCCTGAGTTCAAGCCCCAGGATTGGCAATAAACAAACAAAGTTCATACTGTGTTCTCACTTTGATCTCTGTAGATGTTCTTTTCACAATTTAGGGTAGGAAGTTACCCTGCTCAACCTCCTATTTATGAGACTTATCCATGTGGTTGTATACATCAAATGTAGTTTTTGGGGGTTGAAGGTTGCTCAGTGGTAGAGTGCTTGCCTTGCATGCATGAGGGCCTGGGTTCGATTCCTCAGTACCACACAAGCAGAAAAAGCTGGAAGTAGTGCTGTGCCTTTAGTGGTAGAACACTAACCTAGAGAGCTGAACAGCTGAGGGACAGTGCCTAGGCCCAGAGTTCAAGCCCCACAACTGACAAAAAAAAATTTTTTAATGTAGTTTTTTCTTACTGAGTAGTATGCTATTAAATGGATATACTGTAATTTATTCATCTCTTTTTTTTTGTTTTGTTTTGTTTTTTGGGTCCGGTCGTGGGGCCTGAACTCTGGGCCTGGGCGCTGTGCCTCAGCTCTTCAGCTCAAGGCTAGCACTCTACCACTTGAGCCACAGTGCCACTTCTGGCTTTTTTCTTTTTGCTTATATGGTGCTGAGGAATCGCACCCAGGGCCTCATGCATGCAAGGCAAGCACTCTACCACTGAGCCACCTTCCCAGCCCCTCATCTCCTTTTTAATGGACATTCCTATTACTTCTAGTTTTATACTATTATGAATAAACTACCATAAATACTCGAATATCTTGAGAATTTCAAAACTTTGCTTAAATTCTCTTTTATATTCTTAACTGTATCCTACCAAAGTCATACATACTGCACAATTTTCATGTTGTTTATTGATTTTTTTCTAGGCGGACATTTCTCTATTCTCTGGGAATATAACACAAGTTGGAAGTCCAGTTGGAAGTGCAATGAACCTAATTCCTGAAGATGGACTTCCTCCCATTCTCATTTCTACTGGTGTAAAAGGAGGTATGTGGACTTACATACTTAAACACAAATAGTTATATATGTCAGATGTTGCCTCTGATTAAGGAAGCAGACAGAATTTGAACAATAGTCATTTCCTATCCAACAAGAGTAGCAACTACAGCAGTGCCATGAAAACAATTATTACCAATTATATTTGGGTATCTGTGTGCCACTACTGGAACTTGAACTCAGGGTTTCATGTCTTGCTTGGCTTTTTTTCTTACAACAGGCATTCTACCACTTGAGTCACATCTATTACTAATTTTTCAGAGTAGTTATTTAAGTTTATATATTATGTCATCTCATTCTTTGGCAGGATATAATATCAATTATAAAATAAACATATCTTCCTTTATATTTCAAAGTATGTAATACTCTATACAAAGTTGCTTATAGTTCTAGAACTGTCTCACCCTGATGAGCCTCACTAATTAGTCAAGACATTAATTTACTTTCTGTTTTGGAATATGATAAAAATTCAGTAAGATACTTATCATAGTATTATGAAAAATAGGTTCATGCCTGTAGGATCAGCTACTTGAGAAGCAGAGATTGGAAGGACTATAGTTTGAAACAAGCTCAGACAAAAAGTTTGTGGGACCCTATATAATCAATAAGTTGAGCACGATCATATGTGCCTCGGGTTCCATTTAGGTAGGAGCTAGCCCTGAGAAAAATTTGAGTTTCCACTTGAAAAATGTCAAAAAGGGGCTTGGCGTATGGTTCAAATGCTAGCAAGTAAAGAGCCCCAAGTTTAAACCCTAATATCTCAGTGTGTGCGTGTGTGTGTGTGTGTGTGTGTGTGTGTGTGTGTGTGTGTGCCTTTTAGTTTTGTTGTTCCCATAGTTTGTTTCCTGAAGATTTTGGCTGAATTTGTTATACTCTTAAATATACCTATAGAGTGAGTCTTGACTTACTCCTTCCAAAAACTTAAAAATTTTTTTTTGAGGGGCTGGGAAGGTGGCTCAGTGGTAGAGTGCTTGCCTTGTATGCATGAGGCCCTGAGTTCAATTCCTCAGCACCATATCCGGAAGTGGCCCTGTGGCCCAGGTGGTAGAGCGCTAGCCTTGAGCTGAAGAGCTGATGAGCTGATGGATAGCTCCCAGACCCAGAGTTCAGGCCCCAGGACTTGCCAAAAAAAAAAATTGAGCAAGGCATCAGTGGCTCAGTCCTGTAATCCTAGCTAGTCAGGAGGCTGAGATCTGAGGATTGCAATTCATGTTGTTAATTTGCCTGGACAGAAAAGTTTATGGGACTCTTTATCTCCAGTTAACCCCAAAAAGCCAGAAGTGGAGCTGTGACTCAACTGGTAGAATGCCAGCTCAGGGATAATGCCCAGATCCGAGTTTAAGTCCCAGGATTGGCACATACACATACACAGACATACACATAGACAGACAGACAGACAGACAGACAGACAGACAGACACACACACACACACACACACACACACACACACACACACACAATCAAAAAATAGAGAGCGAGAGAGTTTTTTTCCCCCTTAGGAAAGTTGTGTCCTAGGTTTCAAATTTTGGTTATGTTATAAATGTAGATACCTTTAGCACATATGAGGCACCAAGTTGGTGCCCAGTACTGCAAAAGTGTGTATACGTGTGTTATTAGGAGGTTCTGATAAATGAAATTATTATTCAATCAAAAGAATGTTTAATTTTATGTGTAAGTTTATTTTTGTTACATTCGGATCAGCAACCAGTTAGTTTATTAATAATCTTTTTCCATCTTTGTCTTAGTCTTTTACCTAATCAACTTGATTTCTGACTTGTTTCCTTTATCTTCCATCCTGTAGTCAGCTACCTTTTTAAGTGTAAATGTTATCACGTATTGTCTTTGTTTGGAAATATTAATGGAGTCCTAAGATAAATTACATATCTTAACACACACTATTCATTATATTTTAACCCCTTCTCTCCAACTTTATTCCCAATATCTTATATGAAAATATAGTTTGTTTACTGTGTTACAAATGTTCACTTTTTATACTTTGAACCTTTTTATTTTGCTACAAAATAGTGGGAAGAAAATGACTTAATAGTTGAACAAACGCATATTTTACTCCCAATACCATTGTACAGTATTATTTAGTGGACAAGTCATATATCCTCTCTGAAACTAGCCCCTAGATTTTTTTTTGCCAGTCCTGGAACTTGAACTCAAGGCCTGGGCACTGTCCCTGAGCTTTTTTGTTCAAAGCTAGCACTTTAACACTTGAGCCACAGCACCACTTCTGGCTTTTTCTGTTTAGTGGTACTGAGGAATCAAACTCAGGGCTTCATGCATGCTAGGCAAGCACTGTATCACCAAGCTACATTCCCAGCCCCCCTATATTATTTTTTAAACCTATCTAAGAATCATTGTTTTAAATCAAATATCATATAAGAAAGTATCTGATACAGTGGTTATTATTCCTGATTTTTGCTTTTAGCTGAGAGGACCACATCGTTCAAAATAAGGTGGCTGAATAAAGTTCAGAGATTAAAGAGGAAAAATTTCATTCACAATATCAAGTATTTATTTGCTCATGTTCAGAATCTAATTAGTAATTTACTTTAGTGATTTATATTCTAAGCTGTTAAATGAGAGACATTATTACATGAAACCAGTTACCTATGATATTTGTATTTTCTGATTGCATTTTTTTTGGTGAACTGTTTCTTTTTATTAGTGACAGTATTAGCCAAAAAACAAGCAGTAAAATCTGTGCTTGGACTGACAGGATTCTGCAAGACTTCAATTTGATGGGAAAGTGAGACACTTTTGAAAAAAACAACAGCAACACTAGGATTTTGTCCAAATTAATTTGAGAGAGAACTCATTTATGGCTGAGAGAAGCAAAACCTACTTAATCTTTTTTTGCTTTTCTCCAGTTTCCGTGTGTTTCGAAGCTTGACAGTGGAGGCCACAAGGGGCAGGGAAATCATAATTTTATCCTACTTTCCTAATCTTCTCCCCAACCCCCATAGGGTCTCTTCTCATCATCTCTCCTAGACTTTTCTCTGATGGCATTAAAACAGTCTATGTTTTCATGTTTCAGTGGTCAAAAATACTAAAACTGTATCCAAGGGTAAAAATTAGGCATCGCTTGTATGCAAGCCCTTGAAATCCTTTCCAGAGACAACAGCTACTGTACTATCACTTTTTTTGAGTATGTTGGATTATTTTGAATAATGATAATTTATTATATAACATATTTTTTTGAAAGAGTAGTTTGTTGGTTTGTTTTGTTGGTCGTGGGGCTTGAACTTTGGGCCTGAGCGCTGTCCCTCAGTTCTTCAGCTTAAGGCTAGTACTCTACCACTTGAGCTACAGCGCCACTTCCGAAAGACTAGTTTTTTGTTTGTGCTGGGGATTGAACTTAGGGCCTGGGCCTGATAAGAAATAAGAGTCTCACAGACTTTCCTGCCTGAGCTGGCTTTGAATCCTGATGCTCAGCTCTCAGCCTCCTGAATAGCTAGGATTACAGGTGTGAGCTACCAGCACCTGGGTAAAAGTTGGTAGTTTTTATTAAATAAAAGAAATATCTTTAGATTTGACACACATTACTATGGGGAAAGGTGTGTGCACAGGATAAACATATTATCTTCCAAACTGTACTTGACACTTTTCATAATAAAAGGAGATACTATTAACATGCCAGTGAGATATTCATCAGGTTCAAATCATAGCCTGTGTTCATTCTGTTTATAAATCAAATGCTTATCTCCTACTTGAGAATAATCAGTCCATTTTCCATCATATTTATTTCTCAATTTGTTCCTTTATGTTTCTTTAACTAATCTTTTACAATGTTTTCTTTCCTTACAGATTATGCTGTGGAAGAGAAACCATCACAGATATCAGTAATGCAGCAATTGGAGGATGGTGGTCCTGACCCACTTGTATTTGTTTTAAATGCAAATTTGTTGTCAATGGTTAAAATTGTAAATTGTAAGTTAGAAATTTGTTTTTTAATGAAGATGAATATTCTACAGACTAAGAGATAGTAAATAAAGTTTTCAAAGATTCATCAAACAACTGTATTTTTGTACAGAGCTACATCTTACTGTATACTGTATTCCAAAGAAACTTTTTTTTGTCAGTCATGGGGCTTGAACTCTAGGCCTGTGTGCTGTCCCTGAGCTCTTCAGCTCAAGATTAGGGCTTCAGCTTAAGTTGTAACTTGAGCTACAGGGCCACTTCTGTTTTCTGGTGGTTTATTGGAGATAAGAGTCTCGTGGACCTTCCTAGGTGAGCAGTCTTTGAACTGTGATCCTCAGATATCAACCTCCTGAGTAGCTAGGATTACAGGTGCGAGCCACCAGCACCTAATTCCAAAGGAACTGTTTTGTAAGCAAATGACATATGTCCTAGAGAACTTGTGAGACTAATCAAAGCTCTTGCCTTTAGTTACAGAGATAAGTAAATTTTCCATGGATGAAAGTCAATAAATCCTGAACTAATCTGAATTAAAATCTTGATATATGTTAATAATTTAAAACTTATCACCAGATTTAACTAGAGCTGAATAATGTACCTAAAAGCACCAAACAATTTATGTGCTGAGTTTTTTTTGTTTCTGTTTTTGGTTTTTTTTGTCAGTCATGGAGCTTGAACTTGGGGCATGAATGCTGTCCCTGAGCTCTACTACTTTGAGCCATAGTATCAATTCTGATTTTCTAGTGGTTAATTGGAGATGAGAGTCTCAGGACTTTCCTGCCTGAGCTGGCTTTGAACCTCGACCCTCACACAGATCTCAACTTCTTTAATAGCTAGGATTACAGGTGTGAGCCACCAGTGCCTGGGCTTATAGGCTACTTTTGTTTGTTTATTTTTTTGTTTTTTGTTTTGTCAGTCATGGGGCTTGAACTCTGAGCCTGGGCGCTGTCCCTGAGCTTTTCAGCTCAAGGCAAATGCTCTACCACTTGAGCCACAGGGCCATTTACAGTTTTTGGTAGTTAATTGGAGATAAGAGTCTCTCAGACTCTAATGCCCAGGCTAGCTTTGAACCATGATCCTTAGATCTCAGCCTCCTGAGTAGCTAGAATTAGAGGTGTGAGCCACTGGCACCCAGCCCCACTATTTATTTTTAAATTTTTCTTTTATTCCTGTTAAGTAGTTGTACAAAGATGTTGTCAGTTTATGAGTACAATGCATCTTGGTGTATACCACCCCTTTCATCGTTCTCCTCCAGCCTTTCCAAACTCACCTATCCCCTCAAATTTATTTTTGACTAGCACATGACTTGTACTTTTTAGACTCTTCCTAGACGTTAATTAAAGAAGTTGAAGTCAGTAGTCTAGGAAAGTCATCCTTTTCACCACATTTTATATCATGAAGCTGAGTAAAGTCATGTTGCTGGTAATTTAGTATTTTCTCCCAAAACACTTCAATTAAACTAGCTAGTACATAAAAAATATGTTTTTTGTTTTTTTTTTTTGTCGGTTGTGGGGCTTGAACTCTGGGCCTGGGCACTGTCCCTCAGCTCTTCAGCTCAAGGCGAGCACTCTACCACTTGAGCTACAGTGCCACTTCCGGTTTTTTGGTGGTTTATTGGAGATAGGAGTCTCACGGTCTCTCCTGTCCAGGCTGGCTTTGAACCGCGATCCTAAGATCTCAGCCTCCTGAGTAGCTAGGATTACAGGCGTGAGCCACCAGCGCCCTGCTGAAATATGTTTTCTTTAGGCTATAACCTGAAGCCAGAGATGTGGTATTGGCTTTTTTTGTGTGTGCGTGCTGGTTCTGGGCTTGAACTTAGGGTCTGGACACTGTCTCTAAATATTTTCTACTCAAGTCCATGCTCCACCACTTGAGCCACAGCTTTACTTCTGAGTTTTTGATGGTTAATTGGAGATAAGAGTTTCATGGACTTTCCTTCCCTGGGCTGGCTTTGAACTAGGATCCTCAGATTTCAGCCTCCTGAGTATCTAGGCTTACAGGCATAAGCCACTTGCATCCAGCTTAGTATTGGTTTTTATTGTTTCTGTTCTTCCATAAGTGATTATTTACTTTACTAAAGTGTTGGTTTTTTTAAAAAAATAAATAAATGGGGAGGATTATATCCTTTAGTCATTATGGTATATTTTGGTTTTGCTAAAATGTTTCTTTTGCTGATTTTGTATTTTAATAATAAGTTTAAGATTTTAAGTGTGTTTTCTTTCATGATTATTTCTTTTACTTTCCTTTTATTTATATGTGGTTAAAAAAGAGCCAGAGGATTGACATAATTTATTTCTCACAATGATTCTTTGACAATGTAATGACAGTTCACAGTTGAATTATACAGACTTATATGATCTTTTTCTATATCTTACCATGTGTGCATCTTTTTTAAAGAGTAAACATTGAGAATAATACCTTTGTAATTTTATTCCACTCATAGATGTGAACAGGAAGTGCTGGTGTTTCACAACCAAGGGAATGCATGCAGTGGGTCAATCGGAGATAGTCATTCTGCTCCAGTGTCTACCAGATGAAAAGTGTTTGCCAAAGGATATCTTTAATCACTTTGTGCAGCTTTATCGAGATGCCCTGGCAGGTAGGAATGCGTTCTGACTTGATCTGCATCCTTGATAAATGATAAAAATTGTTGAATTGAGATATATAGTAATCGGATTAGATTTAGAAGTGTAGCATTGGACTTTGATATCAATGGCAAGTTAGAACTTGCCATGGTATGAAGAAATTATACATTTTAATACTTTCCCTGTATGGTTTTCATTATTACAAAGGCTAGAATCTAAGTTATAATAGAGTCTACTGACCTTGATGCAAGAATATTTTCCTTTGACTAGCTTAAGGATCACAGCTGGATATTGGTAGTAGGAAGTAACAATCATACTTTATAAGCTTCAGTTGTCAGTGCTTATATAATCACAGTGTAATCAGTATTGGATTCACTTATCAAAAACAATTAATGTGGACAACTTTATCTTATCAAAATACATTATTAACTATAAGATGTGAAGGAATAGCTATTAGAAATTGGAAAAGGCTAGGTATACATATACTAAAATTCAGAGAAATACATTTCAGCTTATTATTTGGCATTAAAAGTCCACCTACTTTAATATACTACTCATCACTAGATTGATCACCAAAGCCAAAATCAATACCGACAAATCTTATTACACAGTAGCCCAACATGGTAGCTCATACCTCTAATCCATACTTCATGGGAGGCTGAGATTAGGAGCATCGTGATTCTAGGTAATCTTACCAAAAAAAAAAAAGTCTTCAGGATTCTATCTCAGTAGAAAACGCTAAGTGTGGTAGAACACATTTGTCATTCCACTAGCTGGAATAAGAAGATTGTGAGCTGGGTGACAGTGGCTCATGCCTGTAATCCTAGCTACTCAGGAGACTGAGATCTGAGGATTACGGTTCAATGCCAGCCCAGGCAGGAAAGGCCGTGAGACTCTTATCTCCAACTAACCACCAGAAAACCAGAAGTGGCCTGTGGCTCAAGTGGTAGAATACTTGCCTTGAGCTGAAGAGCTGAGGGACAGTGCCCAGGCCCAGAGTTCAAGCTCCATGACTGATCCCCCCCCCCCCCCCCGAAAAAAAAAAAAAAGAATTTTGGTCCAGGCATGTGCCTGGTCAAAAAGTAAAACTCTATTCCCCAAAAAATAGTACAAAAAAGGGCTGGAACTTTGGCTTAGTGGTAGAGTACTCATCTAGCAAGCAAGAGGCCCAGAGTTCAAATCCTGGTACTATTAAAAAAAAAAAAAGAATGCTGGACCATAGAGAAAATAAACCTAACAGACATTTACAGAGTATTCTAATAGCTGTGCATACACATATTTGCAATCTATTGATGCTTTTCTGAAATAAGTTATATTGGGCCATAAAGGTAATCTTAATAAAACAAACTAATTAAAATGGTTTCTTGTATGTTATCTGATAATAAGGGAATTAAATTGAATTTAATAATAAGAAAAACTATAGAAACTTTATAAACACAAGGAGGTTTGAACTTTAGAATGATCAATGTGTCATTGAAGAAATCGGGAAAGAAAATTTCAAATTACTAAAATCAAATGAAATGAAAATACAGAATACCTTAACTTGTGGGATACAAGAAAGACAATTCTGGGGCTGGGAAGGTGGCTCAGTTTTAGAGCGCTTGCCTTGCATGCCTGAGGCCCTGGGTTCTATTCCTCAGCACCACATAAGCAAAAAGAAAAAAGCCGGAAGTGGCACTGTGGCTCAAGCGGTAGAGCGCTAGCCTTGAGCTGAAGAGCTGAGGAACAGCGCCCAGGCCAGAGTTCAGGCCCCACGACTGGACCCCCCCCCCCCCCCAATAAAAAGAAAGACAATTCTAAGAAGTTTATAAATGCCTATATTTTAAAAAAATCAGAAGGAAGTGGCACTGTGGCTCAAGCGGTAGAGCGCTCGCCTTGAGCTGAAGAGCTGAGGGACAGCGCCCAGGCCCAGAGTTCAGGCCCCATGACCGACCAAAAAAAAAAAAAAAAGAAAAAAAATCAGAAGCCAAGTGCCAGTGGCTCATGCCTGTAATCCTAACTAGTGGAGAGTCTAAGAACTAAGGATTGCAGTCCAAAGCCAGCCTGGGCAGGAAGGTTGATGAGACTCTTACCTGTAGTTAACCAGAAAACCAGAAGTGGCGCTGTGGCTGAAAGTAGTAGAGCACTATCCTTGTGCAAAAATAGCTCAAGGACAGCGCCCAGGCCCTGAGTTCAAGTCCAGGACTGAAAACAAACAAAATAAAAATTAGAGAATAATCAAATAGCCTTGGGTTACTCTGACCTCTTAAACAAAATCAAGCCAAATCCAAAATTATCAGATGGAAAGAATCAATAAAATAGGAGAAATAAATGGGGACTAAAAGAATAAATGAAGTAGGGCATGGTGTCTCGTGCCTAGCTACTCAGGAGACTGAGATCTGAGGATCAATGTTCAAAGCCTGCCTGGACAGGAAAGTCCGTGAGACTCTTACCTCCAGTTAACCACCAGAAACCTGGAAGTGGTGCTGTGGCTTAAATGGTAGAGTGCTCCCCTTAAACTGAAGAGCTGAGGGACAGAGCCCAGATCCAGAGTTCAAGCTCCATGACCAACCAAAAAAAAAAAAAAAAAGGAATAAATGAAGCAATTAATTATTTTCAGATAGACATACCCTTTGCTAAACCAACCAAAAGAAACAGATGATACAAATGAATAAAATAAAAGATGAAAGGGGATATATTATAGAAGATACCAATGAAATGCACAAAATTGTGATACAATATTTTGAAACTTTTGCTACAATAAATTGAAAAATCTTGAGGAAACATCTGTGACTCACTGAGAGGAACCTAATCAGATCTACAATGAGCAATGAAATTGAAGCAATAATAGTCTCCCAACAAAGAGCTCAGAACTGGATGCATTCATTGTTGAACTCTACTAAACCTTTAATGGAGTCCTTCTCAAATTATTCCACAAAATAGAAAAGAAATAAGCACAATCAAACTCTTCCTATGAAGACAGTTATTACTCAGATACGAAGTTGAGTAAGGACACAATAACAAGAAGAAAATTATAGATCAACCTCCTGATGTATTTTAGCCTGTGTTCACCTACATTAACCTATGTGAACCTATGGATTTATTAAAAGCCAACTATAGCCTTTCAAGGAATATACATGAATGATAGAAAATTTATGAGAACATAATAGAGTATTTAAAATATCAGGCAGCTGGGCATCAGTGGCACATGCCTGTAATCCTAGCTACTCAAGAGGCTGAGAGCTGAGGATCGCAGTTCAAAGCTAACCCAGGCAGGAAAGACTGTGAGACTCTTATCTCCAGTTAACCACCAGAAAACTGGAAGTGGCGCGTGGCTCAGGTGGTAGAGCGCTAGCCTTGAGCTGAAAAGCTGAGGGACAGTATCCAGGCCCAAAGTACAAGTCCCATGACCGACAAATAAATAAACAAAAAATCAGGTAAGTGAGTGATAATTTGTCTAGTTTTGAGCATATAAGAAAATATTTTTAGCCAAGCACTGGTGGCTCACTTCTGTGATCCTAGCTACCTAGAAGGCAGATAACTAAGGCTCACAGTTTGAAGCCAGCCTGCCCAGGAAAAGTCCTAAGACTCTTATCTCCAATAAACGATCTCCCCTCCCCCACAAAAAAAAATCTGAAAGTCAAGCTGTGTCTCAAGTAGTAGAGTACTAGTTTGAGCAAAAGAAACTCAGGGACAGCCTAGGCCCTGAGTTCAAGCCCCAGGACTGGCACCAAAAACAAATAAAGATAGATAGATTAGATAGATAGATAGATAGATAGATAGATAGATAGATAGATAGATAGATAGATAGATAGATAGATAGATAGAGGACTTTATTCCAATGAGGATGAAATGGCTTCTAATAAGCCATCTCTAACATGCTCACTGTGCATAGTAGTGCATTTCTGTAATCCTTGCATTCAGGAGTCAGAGTAGGAGCATACTTGAACTATGATCAGGTTGTACCTATAATCCATTTCAAGTCTTTCAGATACCTGAATCAGTAGAACTCGTATTTCTTTAAGCAGCTTTGAGCTCACAAACATTAGAATTGAAGCAGAATTAGAGATAAATGCAGAACAACTTGTATAAAAAAGAATTTATATAGTCTAGCTGGTGTCTAAGCAAGAGAAGTGATTGAGCCATTAGGATTGACTCCTCCCACCCTCCTCTGTAATTGTGGCTCTCTTCCTCTGTTCTCCATCCTCCCAGACAGTGCTAGCAGAAGGAAAAGAGTTCTGCTGGCAGTTTACCCTCTGCCAGATGTCCCATGTGTTAGTCAGTTTTTCATTGTTGTGACAAAGACTTGACAGAATCAAGAGAGGAAAGATTTCTTTTGTCTCATAGTCTTAGAGGGTTTGTTCCAGTGATCATTTGTCTCTTGTTGTCTCTGAACCATGGTGAGGCAGAGTATCATGGAAGGGAGCATGTGTGAACAGCTAAGCTGTTCACCAGCTGGTGGCCAGGAAGCTGAGAGGAGACTGAGGAAGAGACTGGGGACTGAATGGCTTAATCCATTAATGAAGGCTGAGCCCTTATGATCCAATCCCCTCTCAATAGCACTGCCATCTGGGGACTAAGCTTGTAACATATGAATCTTTGAAGCTGACACTTCATATCCAAACTGTAACACTCAGGATGCAAATATAATGAGTCCAGTTTCTGTATCCCACATGCCATCATTGGAGCCCTGTCAGACCAAACCAAAATGTAGACATTCATGCTGAAGTCCTATATCATCAAGTCAGAACTAAGTTGTTAATCTGATCTTCTGAAAAATCAATAGCGTGAAAAGAGTTTTGGATGGCATGATGAGGGAGATCCTTCTGCTTTAAATTTTACAAGAAGAGTAACTTTGAAATGACCAATCTGCTTTTTAATCTGTTCCAGTTTTCCCCAGTCCTTTCCTATCTTTTCTCCTTTTCTTTGGAACATTTATTCTGTTTTATAGGATGAAGTGATACTCAATTCTAGAACTCTAGTAAAAGCTAGTTAACAGTTTCATAGTAAATTTTTGTCCTTTGACATGGAAGACACATATAATTCAATGGATCCATTCTATTGAATGTTCTCATCATAAAGTACCAATTTCAATTACTATACAACATCTTTATTGATTCAAGAACCTTAAAGATTCTTGCAGTTTTTGTTTTCTTTGTCAAATTTTGTGCTAGGGATTTTTTTTTTTGGTTAAGATTTAAACCTGTGGAATGTTACTTGTCTATAGATGAGGTGATTGGTGATAATAGAAATTAAATCACTTACTAGATAATGACCTACAATTTTGTAAAAGGAAATAAATGCTTAAAGAATAAAAGATATGGGGCTGGGAAGGTGGCTCAGTGGTAGAGTGCTTGCCTTGCATGCATGAGGCCCTGGGTTCGATTCCTCAGCACCACATAAGCAAAAAGAAAAAAAAAGCTGGAAGTGGCGCTGTGGCTCAAGTGGTAGAGTGCTGGCCTTGAGCTGAAGAGCTGAGGGACAGTACCCAGGCCCAGAGTTCAGGCCCCACTACCGGACCCAAAAAAAAGAATAAAAGATATATACAGTAACATAAGGAGACATAATGAAGAGTGAATAGGAAGATGTTTGTTAGGTATGAGAAGCAGAAAGATAAAAGTTACCTGTAATTGGTTCTAGGCCCTAATAGCAGAATCCCAAAGGAATAATAAATGAACACCTTGAATTCCAAGGAACATTTCTTTCTACCTCTGAGTTATATGCTATATCTTAGTTCATTTTGTGCTCCTATAATAGTGTACTACAGAGTAGGTAATTTATAGTGAGCATAAAGTTATTTTTCACATTTCTGGAGGCCGGGAAGTCTAATATGGTTAGGGAGAGGCTGGCATCTGGAGAGAGCATCCTTGATATGCCTTCTCATAGTGAACGGGCCAATACGATGCAAAAGAAGGGACTATATGTCTCCTTTTAGTGTAAACCCACTCCAATGATAACACTATCCACTCACTCTGTTCTCATGGTCTGTTAACTTAAGTTCTACCTCTTAACACTGTTGTATTAGGGATTAAGTTTCCAACACATTTTTTTAGAGGCTAATTTCAAATCATAGCATATACTAGTGCTTTAAAGGAATACTACATGGAACTTCCATTATGGAGGAATAAAATCTTCCTTCTTTAATTTTATATCCTTCCTTTCCCCTGGCAAACTCCTTTGACTTTTACATTGGTATGGAATATTTCTCTCTCTCTCTTTCTCTCTCTCTTTCTCTCTCCCCTCCCCTCCCTCCTTCCCTCCCTTCCTCCTTTTTGTTTTGTTTTTTGCCAGTCCTGGGGCTTGAACTCAGGGCCCAGGCTCTGTCCTTGAGCTTTTTTTTTTCCTCAAGGCCACAGTGCTCTGCCACTTGAGCCACAAGTTCATGTCCAGCTTATTTGGTGGTTAATTGAAGATAAGAGTCTCATGAACTTTCCTGCCTGTGGTATCTTCAAACCTCAGTCCTCAGATTTCTGCCTTCTGAGTAGCTAGGATTACAATAGACATTAGCTATCAATGCACAGCTTGGAATATTTCTAATTATCTCTTAAAGTTGTAGGATTTAGCAGGATAGTAAAGTATCAGTGATGAATTTGGGGCTCTGATCACCAAAGTACCAGTTACTCTACCTCTAATTCTGTGATGCCTACTAGAAAATACGATTAAACAATACCAAGAAAAAAAGAGAATGATTTAAATACACTTTTTAATGGAGGGACAAAGGATAAACAAATGCAGCAGCAGTACTCACTAGCTACCCTGTTGAAAATGAACTATATGATTTGTGGGTGGAGATAGGAGGGGGAAACTGGGAGAGAGCAAGGGAAGGGGTGACATTGTCCAAAAACAAATGTATTTATTACCTGGCTCATGTAACTGTAACCCCTCTGTACATCCCCTTTATAATAACAATAAAAATTTAAGTAAATAAGTAAATAAATATGTTTTCTGTTTTAGGAAATGTTGTGGGCAACTTAGGACATTCTTTCTTCAGCCAGAGTTTCCTTGGCAGTAAAGAACATGGTGGATTTTTGTATGTGACATCTACCTACCAGTCGCTACAGGACCTGGTACTTCCAACCCCACCTTACTTGTTCGGGATTCTTATCCAGAAATGGGAAACTCCTTGGGCTAAAGTGTTTCCCATTCGACTAATGTTGAGACTTGGAGCAGAATATCGACGTAAGTAGTAAAAATGCTTTCTTCTGAGTCATATAAACAAGGCATGATGATTATAGCTTTGAGATGCTCAGAGTGCCGTCTGCATTGGCCCTGCTTGATACAATTCAGCAGATAGAATCATTTGAAATAACTAGACCACATATGGCCAGTGTCACCACTTATTCTGGCTAGGTCTTAGTTTTTTGGGAAGATTTGAAAAAAAGAAATTGATGGTATTTACTACATTTTAAACTTAGTTTATGGTTCATTCGATAAAAACCATGATCTTCAGAAATACTAATTTGGACATGAATTTTTATATCTATATTATCTGGTGAGCTTATTCATTGTCACTTGGTTAAAAATAGCTATGAAAATTACTTAACAGATACTGGAAACTAGTTGCATAAAGATTACTCCCAGTTGGTAAGGTAGGCTACCTAAGGTAGGCTTCTTTGCTCATTGTTATAGCAATGCAACTAAGTTTGAGGTGTTTTTAATGAAAGGTTAAATTCAAGCTTTACTTTAAACTTTATATCTTCACCTACTTGAAAGTGACATGATCTAGAATCAGATCATTTGCATTCTCGATTCCACCGCTTACTAGCTTTATAACTTCGATCAAGTCACTTGAGTTTTCCAATTGTCAGTTTCTCAAGATTGTCAGGGTTTTTGTTGTTGTTGTTGTTGTTGTTTTTGTTTGTAAACTGGAGATTTTAATTATGTATTTTTCCTTTTATTAATTGTATTTATTATTTATGTGGTACTGAGGCATTGAACCTAGAGTCTCATGCATGCTAGGCAAGCACTCTACCACTAAGCCACATTCCCTGCCCCTAAACTGGAGATTTTAATACTTGCCTTAAGGTCAAATGAAACACTATAAGCTCTAAAACAGTAAACTATATGTTTTCAAGGTAATCAACATTATCCTTTCATTCAATAATTTATTCACACAATAAGAATTTAATCAAGGCCTATCAAATATCATGATACAGGATTATAGACCTATAGTAATCTTCATAAGGAAAACATACAGAAATTATGATTAAAATGGTATGTTGTGTTAAAAACCCATACTTACAGTATGGGTTTAGGAATTCTAAGGTGGGATCTACTTTAGGAATTCTAAGGTGGGATCTACTTGACAAAGAATGTGAAAATTAAAAAAGAAATATCTCTTGGACAAAGATGCCTTTTACTGAACTCTCTAAAGGGAGTAGGAAAGGGCAGGATCTCATGCAGAGGAAGCATGACTTGTACCAGCATTTCAAACTGTAAAAGCCTGAGAGAATAGCCTGGTATTTGACTATTCTAATGAAGGTCTGCTTAGGGGATATAAAGAAGAGAACAGGAGAATTGGGAGATGTTTATTTCCTGGATCATATCAGTCCAGTTTGGACAATATTGCTTCATAAGTCAATTTTGAAACAGTTGCATCAAAAGACTTATTGTGGTCAATCATGAAAACATTCTGCTCAAGATTTGTCTGCTACCATGCTAATTGCTTTCTGAGCCCCAAATTTTATGTATTCTGATGAGCCATAAATCATGAAAATTTTACCAGCCATTATATGTCTCTTCCTAGAATTTTAAGCTGCCAAACTTAGTCTGATCATTTCTCATTCCATAGTTTATCCTTGCCCACTGTTCAGTGTCAGATTTCGGAAGCCATTATTTGGGGAGACGGGGCATACCATCATGAATCTTCTTGCAGTAAGTTGAGAATTTTTTGTTGTTCTTATATAAGAAGAAAGCAAAATGATTTTATTATTTTATTGACAGCATGCCTCTTAGTGTTTCAAGAAGGTAAAAATGTAGGCCAGAGAGAACAAGACATACATAGTTTTGGGAAAACATAAAGAATTCTGGATAGAAGAGTAAAAGATTCTAACTCCAATTACACACTTACTTATAGAAGTGAACCTTGAAGGAGTATTGTGAGGACTAGAAACACTGTAAAAATAAGTTACCTAACATTTTATCTTGATACCATTTTTCTTTTATTCTCTCTCTCTCTTTCTTTCTTCCTTCCTTCCTTCCTTTCTTTCTTTCTTTCTTTCTTTCTTCCTTTCTTTCTTTCTTTCTTTTGTATTCTTTTCTTTTTTTCTTTTTTTTCCTTTTTTTGTCAGTCCTGGGGCTTGAACTCTACCACTTGAGCCACAGCGCCACTTCTGGCTTTTTCTGTTTATGTGGTACTAAGGAATCAAACCCAGGGCTTCATGCATGCCAGGCAAGCACTCTACCACTAAGCCATATTCCCAGCCCCTTGATACCATTTTAAGGCATGGAATTCCCTCTGCCTATATAGCTCACAATTCCAAAATTGGTCAGTGGTTGTGCTCAAATATTTATGCCATTAGACTTCCACTCTCTTCTAATGGAGATGTATGGAGTAGGATTTAAATTTCATTTCCCCCCTTTCTCATGTCTCCTCTGCACATATGCAGGCTTCGATTCTTTTGAACAAGACATTGGTTGGCTTTGATTTCAAAAGGTCTCTGCTACCAGACTAAGGTCAATTCCTGTTATCTGGAGTACTTATTATGAAGCCCCTATTATACTTTTACTTCCAAGAATTCCTTGGTAATAACTAACTAGTCTGTCTCTCTGTGTCTGTCTTCATATATGTATCTTCTAAACAAACATACATATATTTATGTTTGTGTGTAAGAGTGTGTGTATATACATGTATGTATATATAAAATATGATGTATATATGTAAATAACTTGGCCTAAACAGACTGATGTCATCAAGCTAATAGAGTTGTTGGTTTTATTTTTTTTATTTTTGTTGGTCATGGGGCTTGAACTCAGGGCCTGGGCACTGTCGCTGAGCTTCTTTTGCTCAAGGCTAGCACTCTACCACTTGAGCCATAGCACCACTTCCGGTTTTCTGGTAGTTAATTGGAGATAAAAGTCTCAGGGATTTTCTGCGCCCAGGCTGGCTTTGAACCATGATCGATCCTCAGATGTCAACCTCCTGTGTAGCTAGGATTACAGGCATGAGCCACCGGTACCTGACTTAAAAATTATTTTTAGTGGTTTCTTGGTCTCCCTATTTAGCCCACATTGGCCTTAAACAACTTGCAGTACTGCTTCAGCCTCTCAAGTTTGTGGGATTATAGGCATGTACCACCACACCTGTCTTGGGTCATTTTAAATAATGTATGCTTTCAATTGTCTTTTTTAAAAAAAGGAAACTAGGGTTTGAACTTAGGGCCACACATTTACTAGGCAGGCAATCTACTACTTGGGCTCTATCCCATTCCTTGACTTATCTTTTGAACATTTAGAATACATTTATAATAACTATTACCATATCCCAGTTGGTAATTCTGACATCTTGTGTCAATTCTATCTCAGTGTCCTTGGGTTGATTTTTTTTTAATTCTCATTTCAAGTTTTGTTTTCCTGCTACTTTGCATAGTTGCTATTTTTTACTGAATACCAGACATTGTGATTTTACTTTGTGTTGTGATGAATATTTTTGTGCTTCTGCCAACATTCTTGAGCTTTTTGCAAGTAACATAGGTGAGGTACTTAGATACACCCAACTCTTCCTGTCACTTTCTACATCTCACTAAACATTGTTAAAGTAGCACTGATAATAAGATGTAGAATGATTTAAAACTTTTTGTCCTTTGTTCACATTCCATATCCAATTCAATGGATTGTCAGTGTTCTCTTAACATATCTAGACTCAGACAATTCCTTATCATCTTTTGAACTATTACTTTTTGTGTGTGTGCGTGTACGTGTGTGTGTGTGTGTGTGTGTGTGTGTGTGTGTGTGTGTGTTGTGCTGGTCCTGCAACTTGAACTCAGGGGGCCTGTGCACTGTCCCTGAAGCTTGAAGCTAGTGCTCTACCACTTAAACCAAAGCTCCATTTCCAGCTTTTTGATATTTAACTGGAGAATAAGTGTCTCTGGGGCTTTTCTGCTTGGGCTAGCTTTGAACTGCAATCCTCAGATCTTAGCTTCTGGGGTAGTTATGATTACAGGTATGAGCCACTGATGCCCAGCCTACCTAGATTATTTTTATTGTGTTTATATCATCTACTTTTGCTTATACTTACTCACCACTATTGTTTATAGGGAAGTCAGATCTATGAAAACAGGGCAGAAGCTTCAAAATTGAAAGTCTTTGTGATAATTGGTGTTCTGGTGGATATTTGTAATGTCAGAACTTGGAAGGCTTAGCTACCTAAGATTACAAGATGGGGGCCAGCCTGGGTTATCTAGAAACACCTTGTCTCCCATCTCCTCCCTCGAAAGGCTTTGTGGTAACCTATGAAAACTTAGCTGTATACAATCACTTTGGCCTTGACTCCAGCCGCTATTGCTCCTTTGGCTTCAGCCATATTGAATACGGGATAGGCACTTACATTTTCTATAGTCCAGACATTAGAGAATAAGAAGATTAAATCAAGTGAGAGTCCTTATCCCATTGAAGTTTACCTTAAAAACAGTGAACAAGAGAAATATAAAAAATATTAAGTGAGGGGCTAGGAAAGTGGCTCAGTGGTTAGAGTGCTTGCCTTGCATGCATGAAGCCCTGGGTTCTATTCCTCAGTACCACATAAGCAGAAAAGGCCAGAAGTGACCCTCTGGCTGGAGTGGTAGAGTGCTAGCCTTGAGCTGAAGAGCTGAGGGACGGCGCCCAGGCCCAAAGTTCAGGCTCCACGGCTGGCAAAAAAAAAAAAAAAAAAAAAAAGTTAAGTGATGATAAAGCATTCAAGTATTTGTTTAATGTCAAGTAGAACAGGTATAGGAAATTATTTGGTTTACTTCCCAATAAGTGTTTACAGTCTTAGAGAGTTATAATATATGCAGTAGCATTGCATTATACATTTTCTTATTGCTTAAATAAAATAGTTGTTCAATATTGGCATGCTTTTCCCTTTATTTTAGTTTCATTCCTATAAATCAAACCTTGCTATTGATGAATTCCTTATTCTACTTAAATCTGTTTTTGCTCAGGACTTCAGAAATTACCAGTATACTTTGCCTGTAGTTCAAGGGTTGGTAGTTGACATGGAAGTTCGGAAAACAAGCATCAAAATACCCAGCAACAGATACAATGAGGTAAGATTTGCTATGAAAGAAAATTCTTTCTAGTTGAAAAATGTGAATGAATGTGAAAAGTACAGGATTACATATACATTTTACTATATTTCTTCAAATATCTAACTTTAAAATTTTTATTAGTATAAATTGATTTTACACAAGGACTTTTATAGCATGCATAGAATATACATTAATTAAACTCATGAGTTTCATTATACTGTTTTCATACACATACATAATGTACTTTTATAATATTCACACACATACTTCTCATCACCCTGTTCTTTGCCTCTTTCCCCATCTGCTGATTCCCTCTCCAACTAGTCCCCTTGTTACAGTTATGTCACATTATTATTTTTAGGTTGAGATTCCACATATGAAAATAGCCAATATTTGGCTTTGTGTTTGGCTAGTCTTGCTTAACATGATGATCTCTAGTTCTAAACATTTTCCTGCAAATGACATAATTTCACTCTTCTTTGTGGATAAATAATATTCCATTGTACTTATGAACTTCATTTTCTTTAACCAATCATTTGTTGTTGAGCACTTAAGCTACTTTTCTCTTCTGGCTATTGTAAATAGTGCTGCTATAAGCATGCTTGTACAGATATCTCTCTTACATAGTGATTTATGTTCCTTTGAATACATGCACATATAGCAGGATCATATCGTAGTTCTATTTTTAGTTTCTTGAAGACTCTCCACAATTTTTCTAATAGTGGCTGCACTAATTTACATTCCCACTAATAGTATCTAAGGATTCCTTTTTCTCTGCATTGTTACCTATTTTATTGATGACTGGCCTTCTAGACATAGAATCTCAGTTTAGTTTTGACTTGCATTTTCTTTATGACTAAGAATGTTAAACATTTCTTGGTGTATTTAGCAGCTGGTTTTTTAAAATCTCTTTTGAGAACTCTCTATTCAATTTGACTGCTACTTATTAATTGAACTATTTGTTCTTTGGTTGTTTATATAATCTGAATATTAATCCTTTGTCCAATTAATAGATTTTCTTCCATTCTGTGATTATCTCTTGATAATCAGAAGCCTTTTCCTTTTATGTGCAAAAGCTTTTTAATTTGATATAAGCCCATTTGTCAATTCTTGCTCTTACTTGCTGAGCATTTGAGTCCTATTCATGAAGTTGTTTCCTATGCCTATATATTCTAGTATTTCCCCTATGCTTTCATGTTTCAATATTTCAAGTCTTCATTAAGGTCTTTGATTAATTTGAATCAATTTTAGTAAGGGCGTGAGACAGAGTTCTAGTTTCAGTCTTCTACATATGGATATCCAGGTTTCCTTACCTCATTTGTTGAAATGGCTGTCATTAGTCCAATGTATGTTTTTGTCTCATTTGTCAAAAGTCAGATGGCTACTGCTATGTGGATTCATTTCTAGATCTTCTATTCTCTTCCACTGGTCTATTTGGCTGTGAGCATCATACTGTTTTGTCTCTGAGTGTAATTTGAAGTCAGATACTGTGATACCTTCAGCATTGTTTGTTAAAAAAAAATTGAGTTAATGGAGCTGGGAAGGTGGCTCAGTGGTAGAGCGCTTTACCTTGCATGCATGAGGCCCTGGGTTCGATTCCTCAGCACCACATAAGCAGAAAAAGCTGGAAGTGGCGCTATGGCTCAAGTAGTAGAGCTCTTGCCTTGAACTGAAAAGCTGAGGGACAGTGCCCAGGCCCAGAGTTCTGGCCCCACGACTGAAAAAAAAAAAAAAATGAGTTAATGTATATTTGTAATCTTTCCATATATGCACACAGTATATTTTAAACAAATTCACGCATCTATCATATTCCCATTGCTCCCTTCCATTCTCTACTCTTTTCAAACAATGTTTACTGTGTATATGTGTATGTATATATACACATATACAACACAGAATATTATACATGTATTCTTACATAAATGTACATGTATATATATTATATGTAATACATATTTATATATAAATGGGCTATGTATACATACACATACACAAATGTTTTCTGTATCCATTCATTGGTTGTTGAGCAACTTAGCTGATTCCTCATTTTAGCCATTGTGAACAGAGCTACAATAAACAGGGGAATTTATTTATTTTTGCCAGTCCTGGGGCTTGAACTCAGGGCCTGGGCACTGTCCCTGAGCTTCTTTTGCTCAAAGCTAGCACTCTATCACTTGAGCCATAGAGCCACTTCTGGCTTTTTCTCATTATGTGGTATTAAGGAATCAAACCCAGGGCTTTGTGCATGCTAGGCAAGCACTCTACCGCTGAGCCACGTTTCCAGCTCAAACAGGGGAATTTAGATACCTTTTTTATCTATTGATTTACTTTCCTTTGGATATATGCCTAGAAGTGCTGAGATTACAGTGAGGCACACAGAACTTCTACAGGTGATTTTAAGTACTATTTTGATAGGTCAAAATTTATGGAAATTTATGCTTTAAATATGTACATTTTACATTTTGTTAATTATTTTTCTATTTACCTGAAAAAACTCCCATTTTTTTCTGATAATGTGGCAGACATTCAGACTTCAGAAATATAGCCAAAGAGTTCATCTATCAAAATCTCATATAGAAAGGAACAAAGTTAGCTGAGCACTGGTGGTTCATTCTATAATCAGAGTAACTCAGGATGCTGAGATCTGAGGATAATGGTTCAAAGCCAGCCTGGCCAAGAAAATCTGTGAGCATCTTATCTCCAATTAAATCAAGAAAAATCCAGAAATGGCTCTGTGGCTCTAGTGGTAAAGTGTTAGTCTTGAGCAAAAGGAATTCAGGCAGAGTTCAGACCTCAAGACTGGCAAAAAACATAAAATAAAATAAATGAGAAAAAAGGAATAAAGTTTTGTTAGCCTTTATTCAAAACCAAAAAGACAGAAACAGAGTTTATATTGGTTGTGATATAATCAAAGAATCTTTTTAATCAGATATTTATACAATTCTCCATCTTGTGTGATTTAGATTGGAAGTTAGTCTGAATGGCCTCTTGAGCTTCTTTCCCACTCTGATCCTAAAATAGGAGTTTTGGTTTATTTTAATTCATAAGTACACATAATCTTCAGAGAAGTGTGAAATTACAAAAGCATAATTTCATAGGTTCCTTGTATCACTAGTGAGAGCAGATGGCACTCAAATCTGTTTGAGAAATGTTTGTTTTTTGGCCTTCAAGGAATAGATTTCTTTTAGAGAAAAAGCCTTCTCCAATAGTCCCTGATAGTTCATTCCATTTGGAAGGAATAAAAAAAGTCCAAAGTCCTTCCAATGCAGGAAGGAAGTAGTATTGATTATTTTTACAGTTATTCCTAGTTTATATGTGAAAGACAGTATTTAACCATAGATATAAATTCAAATGAAAGGATCCCTAAGAAAGAGGCCTATGTTACTCTACTTCTGTAATTTGTGTATGGCCACTGACAGTAATAAACAATGACTCTGGAACACTGAGCTTCTAGCCAAACTCACAGCTTTCCTTGTCTTTCAGAATTCACAACCTTATTGCCACTTTTAATCTTGTGACCATCAATTTAATCTTACTATTTTTATATCAAGCATCACAAAATGTCCTGGACTCCACCATCAACCTTTCTCTCTCAGAAATCAATTTCTGTCTCTGTGCATCCACATTTTTTTTTACCTTATTTCTTGCTCGTTTTGGAGAATTCAAAGGCTCAGCCTTATGTCTTATTTGTCTCTATCCATTTCCTTGGTGATCTCGTGCTGTAGCTTTAAGTAGAGTCTCTCTGCTGATGGCTTCCAAATACTCACTTTCAGCCCAAGTCTCTCCCCTGATTTATAGACTTAACTATGATACTGCCCATGTGACAGCTCTACTAGCAGATCATCTCAGGCTAGCAAGTTTACTGTGACCTCTTGAACATCCGTCTAGGTGTGTTATTCCATGCATTCCTTCATCCTTCCAGTTATTCATCAGAAAACTTTGGAGTTATCTTTTTTTGCTGAGGGTCAAACCTAGGGGCCCAGGCATGTAAGGCAAGAGCTCTAGAGCTAACTGCTCAGCCCTTGAGGGAGTGATCTTTGAACCTTCTTTCTCTTATTCCCTGGTAGATAATCCAGCTGCTTAGGAAGTTTCCGCCAGCTCCACCTATCCCCCAAAATATCCAAAATCCGACTGTGTCTTAGTCCCTGGACCATTCTGGTCCCTGACCTGGATTTGTGTGATAGGCTCCTTAGCCTCCTGTCTGATCTTCCTGTTAGCATTCTTGTCTCTTTTCTCAACACAGCAGCCCAACTGATGCTGTTAAAAGTGTCATTGCGGGAGGGAATGAAGGGAGGGATGACACTGTCCAAAAAGAAATACACTTTTTACCTGACTTATATAATTGTAACCCCTGTATATCACCTTTATAATAACAATAAACAAAAAATTGAAAAAAAACTGCCATAGCATATCACTACTCTGCTCAGAACCCTCCAAGGATTTTTGTTACAACCCAAACTGAAGTCATCTATACTATTTTTTTCTTGTATTGTTTTTTGGTGCTGGACATCAAACCAGTCAGGACCTAGTTTATTCTAGGTGAGCGCTCTACCTAGCTCCTATTTGAAGTTTGTTTTTAGAAAATAACACATGTGCCAGGTGCCGGTGGCTCACACCTGTAATTCTAGCTTCTCAAGAGGCTGAGATCTGAGGATCACAGTTCAAAGCCAGCCCAGGCAGGAAAGTCTATGAGACTCTTATCTCCATTTAACTACCAGAAAATAGGAAGTGGTGCTTTGGCTCAAAGTAGTAGCATCCTAGCCTTGAGCTGAAGAGTTCAGGGATAGTGCCCAGGCCCAGTGTTCAAGCCCTAGGACCCGCAAAAAAAAAAAAAGTTTTCATTAAAGTCTTTTGTATAATAGGTGCAGAGTTTAAGAGAGTTTCTTCAAATGATTTCTCTTGGTACCACTTAGAAGCATCCTTACTGTCTGTAACATAGAGTGCTACAGTCCTTCAAATGGAATTATAGAGTAATTTATTACACATTTTCCATTATCTGAAATCATTCAATAGTTTGT